TATATTTTCATAATTGTAACAAATAGAGAGATTTTTTTCAAAAAATTAAAATTAAAAAAAAAATCAATTTGATCATGAAGAGATACATAGAATACTAAAATGGCTCAAAACTGAGTTCCAAGTTATCCTTATTAATAGTGTGTTTATGAAGCAAATAAGTTGATTAATTAATTAAATAATTATGTTTTTGAAAAGTCAGCTATATCATAACTGCTACAGATGCTCATATCTTCAATTTTGACTTTTACTATTTCAAATATCTCATGAGTACTTTGCCCCATTGATTCTTAAATTTATTTTCTTGTTTTCACATTTTATGAAAGAGACGTAAGAACCATAAAATAGTATTGTATCAATATATTGCACCATAAAAAGATGTCTTATTTTAATTTATTATTGCTCGATTGTTTATTCGTTGTCTGTCCAATAGATACTTTCATTGTTAGATTCAACGATCAATGTGTGTGTGGTTTGTCGAATTTGATTGCTAGCAAATTCTAATGAAGACTAATCGACCATGAATTTATGACAAAAATCGTTAACTCCAAAATAATTACTTTTAGAGCATCACCAATGGTACCCTAAATTAGATATCTAAAGTGATCGAAAGCCTTTCCAGTAGAGAGATGCAAATGAAATACAAAGTGCATTTTCTAATAGAAAATATTAAAAACAAATGAAAATTTACATCTTTTTTTTAGATCTACTTGTGGGGGCCCACAAGAAGCAAAAAGCTATCAATTTATTTTCCCAATATTTTTAAATCTTTCCATTTGAGCAGGATTTAGATTTAGATCTATCGAGATGTTAATGAGTATGTAAGAATGATTTTGAAGGTATCAATTTACACCAGAAATGAAGATACGCTTACTATTTGATGAGTTAGAAAACATTATTAGAAGCATAATATAATAATATTTGTTATTGCACTTTATAGAGCAACCAACCTATCCAAATAAAAGCCCTAAACATTGATTTTCAATTTATTTCTAGTTTAGAAAATCAAATAGATTATGAATACGTACACCAAATGGGCTTGGGAGTATGAAACTTATAATAATATTGATTCTACCAAGAAAGTATGACAAATCTTATTGTTGTTACAAGAATCTAATGAATAAAAAATAACAAGTCCCTTTCTCTTTCTATTATTTTGAGTAAAGTGAGATAAGAATAATGAACTATTTCGATGAGAGAAAAATTATTTATTAAGACATCACAATTGCGTTGTTTTTAGATATTCAATTTTTAATTTCGTGTTGAACAACATGAATATGATTGTTGTGCTTTATGCACTCCAACTTAGTGATGACAAAAAAATCTGCCCTCACCCCGCCCTAAATGGGGCGAAAAAAACCTGCACTGACGGGTTAGTGGAGCGGGGCAGGGAGGCGGTGCCCCGCCCCGAACCCGCCCTGTGAAGAATAAAAAAATAATTAACTACAAATTAAAAACAAAAAATAGTTAATTGGAATTTTTTGAAATAAAAAATAATAAACGGGGTAGAAAACGGGGCAAGCTCACGCCCCGAACCCGCCCCACCCCACCCCACCCAGTCTAAGGTGGGGCGGAGCGCGAGGTGGGACGAAGTGGGGGAGTGGTGGGGTGGGGGTGCCCCGCCCCCGCCCCGGCGGGCACCCCCTTCCCGAACCCGCCCCGTTGCCATCTCTAGTCCAACTTATAAAAAGTCTCTTTAAATGAAATCCTTCAAAGGCAAACTATTAAACGATCTTTAAATCGATATAGAGGATAGCAATGAACTCGATCGAAGAATAAGAAAGAATTTATATAGTTGATCTCTAATTCATTGTAAGTTTTACAAAATTAAGTGAAAGTGAAGAATTTTATTTACCCTATTGAGAGTCCCAAAATACTCATTTAAATTATGTTAAAATAAAAGAACATTATAAATAATTTGTTTGAAACACGTTGGACATCCTCAATTAATAAAAGTAAAAACAAGAAAATACTCATAATAAACAATACAGTGGATTTTAAGTTAATATAAAAGTACAAAAATATTGTAAGATAGAGTCAAACAATTTTCTCCCAATAAATTTGTTTATGTATTTTCTAGTACTAATTTATGCCATGTTACCATTTGGGCAAATAGTATTGCAATTTCAGTAAGTGGTCTTTGGTCAACAAAATTTTTCAACCAAATGTTTGCTATGCAGAATATGAGAGGTCCCATGTGAAGAACCCTAATAAATGCTGTTTTAAAGTATTCAATTTTAGAGGCTGAGGCTGACATTTTTTCTATGTTCAATGTAACCGACATTGCCATTCTTTGCACATGCTGTGGGAATGGTCAAGTCGGTGAATCGCTCGGTATTGGGGACGAGTCATGAGACGAGCCGAGTTGATTTTTTTCGTGTAAGTCACTTCAGTTCGTCAGCTCACGCTAACTCGTCCAGTAGTCAAGAAATATAAAATAAAAATTTGAATATTTAATAGAAAAAAAATTGCAAGCCCAAGCGACTCGCCTCACCAAGGGTGAGTGAAATCGAGTTTTTTTGAAGCGAGTTAGCTTGTTCTCAGCTCGATCCATTTAACATACTTACGTTCATGTACACCTAGTCACCATCCAATTCCAAATATCATATACTAACGAGTGGCGATGGATGTATGAGAATTCACCATATGTATATGTAAGAGTTGAGAATGACATCTACCTTGTGTATTGATAGGAAAAAAAGAAGAAAAAAAATAGTGTGAGGGGAGAGATGTAGCTTAGGTATAAACAATGATAGCACGAAATTTTGCATAAAGTCTAAACTTAAGAATATTACTCACGTTACTTAATGTGTTAAATAAAATATATTTGTGTAGGTTTGGCCCCTATATTTTGGGTTTATTGCAAATCACCCCTTTTACTTTCATAAACAAACATAGTACTTCTATGATATATTTAGGACTATAGGTTGCATATCTAAAGATGTAGGAAAATGACATTGCCATTTCATAATGATGGGTGAGAATGATAGTCAGCCTCATAAAGGAATAAAATCTAAAAGATTAGTTTTCACCATCAAATGAAATCAAATTACCATGAACAATTCTAGTGACATAATTTCGAATTAACATTTAAAAAATATAAAATTAAGAATAACTTTAGAGACTATAATTTATATTATGCCAAACGTCAAGGGCCAAAGTGAATACATTAAACCCTCGTAGGTTTTGTTAATAATTAGATTTTTAATAGATTTTAATAAAAGTTAATGAAATGTACTATTAAAAACTTAATAAAAGTAGTGGGTATTGAAATTAATTAATGATGGGAGGTAATGAAATGTGTGATTAGAAAGACGAGTTGAATTCTAAAAGTGATGAAATTTTAAATACGAAGTATCCGTCTTACGAAAATAATTAAAAAAGAACACAATATTTTATATAATCATCACTTACAAGATTCTCATCCATATGCGCCTCCTTTTACACTCTTTGCCTCTTCTACTAGAATAATTACTTGCATGATCTATTATTACTTTATTTAATTTCGAAATCGAGCTTTTTTGCTATAAAATAATTTCGTATAAAAATTTAACAGCTAGTCATAAATATATTTAGTGAGTGTTTGGTGGGGGATTAAAATTAGATTTTTAGTAGATTGTGATAGAAGTTTTTGAAATGTGTGGTTGAAAAGCTGTATGACTCATGAAAGATATGGTTAATATTGATTGTTTGACTTAAATTAAAATTTGATTTTAATCCGAAACAAACGGGCCTTTAAATAGATGAGTCTACAGTGAAAATTGAACTTAGAATATGCATTTGTTGTAACGTCGCTAAATCGACTCATTTAGAAACTGCTCTACTACCAACTTTTATTTACAACTGTTACCTTGACATTGAAGAAAAGAAAAGTTCGACTCAACATCTTATTTATAATTTCCAAAAAAAAAAAACAAAGAAAGAAAGGTGTGAAGCGCTATGATGGGACCAGCTTCATTTCTCTGTAACATCAACTATTGTCTGTTCCCAGAAAAATAATCTTCTAATTGTATCCATTTTTGGAGCCTTCATGTTGACGGACCTAATTTATAGACACTTGTTTATATATTTGTTTTTTTCATTTTATTCTTCCCCAGTGACTTGTAACTGCATAATAATTCCCATAAAAAAAGCTTCCTTTTTACACATCGGAGTTTAGCTGAGCAATCAATACTTTCCCTTTGGTTTTTCTTCAGCTGTACCTATCAATTATTTCCACATTTTTTTTAAGTATTATTTCAATTTGGATCTCACAAGATATAATTTCTGCATTTTGGGTCCTGCGTCTTGTGGATTCTTGGGTTCAATCTTCAAGCTTTCAGTTCAGATTCTTGAAAATTGAATTCTTTTCTGTTTTAGGCAATGCCCTTTTGGTAATAAAACGATATTGGGTCAGTTTTCAACTCTGAGTTGTTTATCTCAATTCGTAAACAATCATCTAAAGCCCAAGAAATTGACGTTTTGATATTTTCCCTTCGCTTTTCTGTGATGTGTACGGATTTTTGTGAGCCCTATTCACATTAGTACAGCATTAATATCTTTTTGCAAGATTTGTTAGTTCCTGCTAGAAAATCTTGAAGTTTTGCATCTGGGGTTTTCTCAAAGTGATGCATATAGAATCCCAGAAGAATGGCAAGTTTGGTTCCTGGGGTTCTTTTAAAGCTACTTCAGCACATGAATACAGATGTGAAGGTTGCTGGGGAGCACAGATCATCTCTATTGCAAGTGGTTAGCATTGTTCCTGCACTAGCAGGGGGTGAACTCTTTCCAAATAAGGGGTTTTACCTAAAGGTATCAGATTCCTCTCATGCTACTTATGTATCTCTTCCTGATGAACACGATGATCTAATTTTTAGTGATAAGATCCAATTGGGTCAGTTTATACATGTTGAGAGGCTAGAGGCTGCCTCACCTGTACCTATTCTTAGAGGGGTTAGGCTCGTTCCGGGTCGACACCCCTGCATTGGAACTCCTGAAGATATAGTTGCAACTCATTCTCTAGGATTCCTCAATAGCAATGGTAATTCATCTTTGGGTTCGAAATTGATTCACAAAGCCAAGGCACCTTCAAAGTTGTTGACCAATACTGAGGCAAAAGATGTTAAATCTGCGCTTTTGAAATTGAATCGTAGTGCTAAAGAAGATAAAGTCGACAACAAGAAGCCTGGATTGACTCGATCCAAGTCTCAGTTGTCAAAGCTATCTATAACTTCGGATGGGAAGAAGGAATCTGCAGGAAAATTGAATTCTTCAAGTTCAAGGTCAATACCCACGTCACCAACGAGCTGTTATTCATTGCCTACTTCTTTTGAGAAGTTTGCAAATGGGATTAAACAGCAGGGGAAGATCAAGGGACTGGAAAGGTTGGAAAAGGCAACTGCTAAAGTCGGGTCAGGGGAAAAGGCAATTTCTGTTCGGGGGGCAAGTCCAACCACAAAGAAAGTGCTGGGTGGGAGTGTGATGAAGAATATTGTTCAAGGTCTTGAATTGGGGCCAAAGGCTCTGAGAAAGAGTTGGGAAGGAAATATGGATGTCAAGGGGAGGGAAAGTCCCAGATTGAAGGTCAATAAGCATGTCCAGAAGCCAGAAGTGCGAAGTACTTCCGTAAGTTTTTTGTTCTTTTAGTACATCTTTCGTTTATAATTTGTCAATCAAATGCTAGGGCCATGCTTAACAGGAAGACAAAAAAGAAGGAAAGAATTGCAATTTGTGTTGATGCTTTTTGTTCAGTTGTATTTAGATGTAAAAATTTAGAAAGCTGTTTATGATGGTGCACTGGTATGATGAAAGCGTTTAAATATTGTTGAATGTTTTGTCTAAACTGAGTAGTCTGTTTTGGCTTTCCATCCATTCAGTGGAAAATTGACTGGCTTGCAGTTTAGAGATATTTCTGTTATACATTGATCTAGTTTGCACGGGATAATATTTTTTATTGAATTATCTAGTGAGGTGCTGTTTATCTTGGCAGCTGCTTTTAGTTTATTTTTTCCAGATTTTCTGAAGAGTTTATGTAATGCCAACTGAAATCTGGAGTTTTTGAATAATAATTCTGGCATCACCACCCTATTTCTCTACATTCTGCAGGTACCAAGGAAATTGACAAGCGAAAGGTTGCCATCCAAAGAAGAGATTAAGGTTGAGTCTTCAAAATCATCCTGGGAAGAAAATAAGGCCAATGCATCTGTGAAGAAAGCTTCGACAAATGCAGATTTGGCTAATAATAAGTCAACTGCACAGAGAGTTTCACCTGCTAAGAAGTCTGGAGAATCTGCTAATCATGGGTTCCCTGGCAATTTAGTCAAGGTTTCTCTCAGCAAAAGTAAATTAACAGATGGAACTATTTCATGTGCCTCACTCCCATCATCAATTGTAAAGCTTGGGAAGGTACACCATTTTTCTATTCAATTTCTTTTTGCTTGCCTTGTTGGGAACCTTGGAGCCTCATCCCATCTTGTTGTCTCAAATCTACAATTTTTATTCGTTTAGAATTTCCGATAGCACCCGTTGAAAAATTTGCTGCTTGAACAATATACAAAATAAGGGATAGTTAAACATGATTTGCTCTTTCTTTCTTTCAGTGAAAATATGACCAATAAAATGAATTCGTTGGTCTTCTTCTAGCGTGATTTCAATCGTGGTTCCTAAGTGTTTCTGAATTAACATTGATCGGTGATTTACATACTAGAGAGAGAGAGAGAGAGAGAGCTGGAGTTTCTTTAGTCCTGAGAACCTTCCTTTATTGCAAGTAATACATACTAAAGAGAGAGAGAGAGAGAGAGAGAGAGAGAGAGAGCTGGAGTTTCTTTAGTCCTGAGAACCTTCCTTTATTGCAAGTAATATTTCATCTGGATGTCATTCTTGTTGGCTTATTCCATTTATTGTTCGATTTACTATATGTTCTTGATATATTTGATACATTAACTTTTCTGGATATGAACTTGAGATTTCTGATTGCAAAAACTCTCCTTCCTATACAGGATGTATTAAAGCATAGAGATGCTGCGCAAATGGCTGCCATGGAAGCAATGCAAGAGGCTTCTGCTGCAGAAAGTTTACTTCAATGTCTAAGGTATTTTCTTGAGAATGAAATGTAGAGGAGTTTTTGATTTTCTTTAATCGAAATAATTTTAGCGCCTCACTACTGGTTATCAATCGGCACTAAATTGTTGGCAACATTTCATAGGCTAATGAACTCAGATGAAAAATGCATATTCCAGTTTGCATATAACCTCTGTTGTTTTGTTCATTGCTCTCGTAGGAAGAAGAGTTCCCATTATGAGACTTTATTTTTCTTAAGAACCTTTTCCTTCCATGCTGCCTTTTCACTTCCTCCAATCTAGCATTTCCTATATTTTAATTTAGCTGGCACGACCAAATCAAGTTCCGAAGTATCCAAAACCGAGCCTATCTGTCAAAAGTCCAATTTCCAAGGGAAAGCAAGTGGTTGAAACTATTCACCAGATTAACCACGAATCTTCTGCACTTCCTGAGGTTACAACTAGTTAAAGTTTCATCTTAGCTGCTATCTAACAAAGGAAAAGTTCCCTTGGATCTTTGGAGCTGCATTCACATACCATGAATCTTAGAGCCCGTTTGATTCTCATTATTGTAAAATGAGAATGAAAAATATAGTCGTTATTGGCCCAACACAATAGATATAAATTCAAAATTGATGGCTGATGTGATGGATAATAGTCATATTTTTCATTTTTATGGATGAAAAATGTTATTGTTTACTATATCTTTACTAATATAAGTGAATTCTTAATTCATTAGAAGATATAATTTGGATAGCTTATACAATAGTTAAAAGGCAGCCAAAAATGTAAACATGAAAATGTGTGCATGTGTGAAAGACACCACGAGAAGAGTTATATTAGCGCAATGAACGAGGATTCATGAAACATTTCTGCATCACAACTAAAGAAAACAAAGAGATTAAAATCCCCCCTTCTCCTGAATATATTGTACAGTCTGCAAAAAAAAGAACGGGACTTGACAACTGATAGGCAATCTGAGACATCTGTACGCATTTCAGCTGTCTAAAATCTTTTGCATAGTTCCCTGCTGAATGTTTATTTGCTCATTGCTTAAACCTTGCGTTCCACTTCTCATTTGTTTCTGTTTTGGTATGTGGCACAGCGAATTGGAGTAGAAATGCTAACAAATGTTGGGTAACTACAATATGATATCACTTGCTAAAACCGTATATTTCCTTGAGTCTGATGAAAGGTTCTTTTGTCAGTCAGAAGTAGCATGCTGGACATTTGTCAGTTACAAGTTGCTTATTTATCTTCTTCTGTTAGATGGCTGCATGTGTTGGTGACAAGTTTCTTACTTGATAATAGAATAATACATCGATTAATATAAAAATTAACTGCCTATGATTTACTTACAAGCTTGCAAAAAAGGAAAGATCCTATACTGATTACATGATCAGTACTATGGAAATAATCTACGGAAATATGGAAGATATAATAATATCATGAGATAATGGAGATAAATCTTTAATATCTATTTTGTCTTTTAGTTTGTAAAATGACCTGTCACACATGTTTGCCCTAAACAGATAACTAGCTTATGGTGAGTTTCATTCACGTTCTTGTTTAAACTAGTAGTTGCTGGTAGAAAGAAGCTTTCCTTTCTGGTCATAGACCTTAGAGAGAGCTTTTTTCATAGGTTGGTGATTTATGATTGAATGGTCCATCTAAACTTCATAAGTAATTTTATCATTTTTTGGGGTAACTAGCCTCCAAGTGGTTATACTATCATGGCTTAGTAAGATTTTAAGCAGATTTTGAAAAGGGTAAAAGGGTAAATGGGGTTTCATTGCCTATGTGGGGCGATGTGCAAGCCTCAAGGCACTTTGAGGTTTAAAAACCTAGAAGAAAATTAAAAAATATATACTTTATAATTATAAAAATTCAAAATTGTACTTAATAATGAACTGTATACCATCTAAAATATCTGTAATCCCAACATTTCACAAATAATAAAAAATATATTAAGAGTCTAATTTGCAAATGTCAATGGTAGAAATAAAGCGACGAAGAGGTAATTACGTAACAAGACCTTCGCGATCAACGTGTTAGCTAAACTGAATCTCGGAATAACTCCTCATTATTTGTGCTTAGTTTTGAGAACTAGAATTTTTTATTATTATTATTTTTTATTTATTTTTTTGGGGCTGTGATGGGGGGTGGGGGAGCGTGGAAGTGCAACATACTGATTCTAAGAACCTTTTAATTTAAACTTTGGGTTGAAATTGATGACATGGAGATGGTTGTGTTTTTTATTTTTTGGTTGGGATAAATATTAGAATCTCCACGAGAGCAAAAAGCTCAGGCATACTGAACGTCAAATTGGGGTACAAAGGTATTCAAATTATTTTAGAAAAACATATTTACTAATTCAAGGGCTGCATGGCAGCTGTGAAAGCTTTGATAGTGTGATTTGAAGTTGTGGTGGTACCCTATCTTGTTGTAGCAGAAGACGATTCTGGCTTCTGGACAGAAGGCCTCTTAAAAGGATAGATCAAGGATTTTGAGGACACTTGGATGAGTAATTAGTTTTGACATTGTTGGAAAAATAAATTGAACCCTAAACTGTTGCATTTCAATTTTTCCTGATTATTGTCTCTTTCGGGATTTTATGACGAAGAAGATTATTGGTAAAGGACATGAATCAAGCGGTCTCTATCTTTTAGATACCCAGGTGCCCAAACCCATTGCATGTTCAAGTGTCTTAACTCCATTTGAAGTACATTGTCGCTTGGGCCATCCGTCTTTATCTTTGTTGAAAAAATTATACCCTCAGTTTCAGAGTGTGTCGTCTTTAGATTGTGAGTCGTGTCAGTTCGCAAAACATTATCGTTTGTGTTCAGTTCCTCAAGTCAATAAGAGAGATAGTTTTCCTTTTGAGGTAGTTCATTCAGATGTTTAGGGTCCGTGTCCTGTAGTGTCCAAAACTGGTTTTCGATATTTTGTTACATTTGTTGATGATTTCTCTCGTGTAACTTGGCTTTATTTAATGAAAAGTCGTTCTGAATTATTCTCTCATTTTAGTGCCTTTTGTGCTGAAATTAAAACGCAATTTAATGTTTCTGTACAAATATTGCGAAGTGATAATGCCAAAGAATACTTTTCCAATGCTTTTCAAACTTTCATGCTTCAGAATGGTATTTTACACCAATTCTCTTGCGTTGACACACCATCTTAGAATGGTGTGGCTGAAAGAAAAAATAGACACATTCTTAAGAAAGCATGGACACTCTTGTTCCAAATGCATGTTCCTAAACCGTTTTGGGCTGATGCGGTATCCACAGCCAGTTTTTTGATTAATCGGATGCCTTCATCTATTTCTCATGGTGTGACTCCTTATAGTGTCATTTTTCCTACCAAACCATTGTTTTCCATTGAGCCTAAAATATTTTGTAGTAATTGTTTTGCTCGTGATGTTCGCCCCCAGGTCACAAAATTGGATCCAAAGTTGTTAAAATGTGTCTTTCTGGGTTACTCGTCTCCAAAAGGGGTATCGGTGCTATTGTCTGAGTCTTAACAAGTATCTTGTTTATGCTGATGTTACATTTCTGGAACATATCCTTTCTTTCCTACTTCCATTTCTTTCAATAAGGGGAGGATGATGATCTGTTAGTTTATCATATCATTTCTCGGCCAACTGATATTACTTCTTAACATGTTGTTCTCACCCCGCCAACGCTGCCACCACCAGTCCACCACCGCCCATTCACCAGGTCTATTCCAGAAGACGTCACCCTCCTGATGCATGTTCGGCGCCCATCTCTTCTTCTGCATCGGATCCAGTGTCTAGTGATCTTACTCTACCGATTGCCCTCCGCAAAGGTAAACGTCAGTGCACTTATCCTATTTCCTCTTTTGTTAATATGATCACTTGTCTTCTTCCTCTTGTTCTTTTATTGCTACTCTCGACTCTCTGTCACTTCCGAAAACTGTTCATGAAGCTTTTTTCCATCCTGGTTGGCGTGAAGCTATGATAGAGGAGATGAATGCTTTAGATGCTAATGGTACTTGGGATTTAGTATACTTACCTGCAGGAAAGAAGGCTATTGGATGTAAGTGGGTGTTTGCAGTCAAGGTCAATTCTGATGGTTCCGTGGCTAGGCTTAAAGCTCGTCTTGTGGCTAAGGGTTATGCTCAGACTTATGGTGTGGATAAATTTGTCAATCAAATGCTAGGGCCTTGCTTAACAGGAAGACAAAAAAGAAGGAAAGAATTGCAATTTGTGTTGATGCTTTTTGTTCAGTTGTATTTAGATGTAAAAATTTTGAAAGCTGTTTATGATGGTGCACTGGTATGATGAAATCGTTTAAATATTGTTGAATGTTTTGTCTAAACTGAGTAGTCTGTTTTGGCTTTCCATCCATTCAATGGAAAATTGACTGGCTTGCAGTTTAGAGATATTTCTGTTATACATTGATCTAGTTTGCACATGTTAATATTTTTTATTGAATTATCTAGTGAGGTGCTGTTTATCTTGGCAGCTGCTTTTAGTTTATTTTTTCCAGATTTTCCGAAGAGTTTATGTAATGCCAACTGCAATCTGGAGTTTTTGAATAATAATTCTGGCATCTCCACCCTATTTCTCTACATTCTGCAGGTACCAAGGAAATTGACAAGCGAAAGGTTGCCATCCAAAGAAGAGACTAAGGTTGAGTCTTCAAAATCATCCTGGGAAGAAAATAAGGCCAATGCATCTGTGAAGAAAGCTTCGACAAATGCAGATTTGGCTAATAATAAGTCAACTGCACAGAGAGTTTCACCTGCAAAGAAGTCTGGAGAATCTGCTAGTCATGGGTTCCCTGGCAATTTAGTCAAGGTTTCTCTCAGCAAAAGTAAATTAACAGATGGAACTATTTCATGTGCCTCACTCCCATCAACAATTGTAAAGCTTGGAAAGGTACACCTTTTTTCTATTCAATTTCTTTTTGCTTGCCTTGTTGGGAACCTTGGAGCCTCATCCCATCTTGTTGACTCAAATCTACAATTTTTATTTGTTTAGAATTTCCGATAGCTGAACTACCCATTGAAAAATTTGCTGCTTGAACAATATACAAAATAAGGGATAGTTAAACATGATTTGCTCTTTTCTTCTTTCAGTGAAAATATGACCAATTAGTAGCTATCTTCTACAAAAATATGGCTCTAAATCCATGCCCAACACTCGAAACATCCCCTTCATTCTACCTGCATTTTTCTATCATTTAGCCCACGGGTAATAGGAAAATGAATTCGTTGGTCTTCTTCTAGCGTGATTTCAATCATGGTTCCTAAGTGTTTCTGAATTAACATTGATCTGTGATTTACATACTAAAAAAAAGAGAGAGGGGGAGAGAGAGAGAGAGAGAGAGAGAGAGAGAGAGAGAGAGAGAGAGAGAGAGGGAGAGCTGGAGTTTCTTTAGTCCTGAGAACCTTCCTTTATTGCAAGTAATATTTCATCTGGATGTCATTCTTGTTGGCTTATTCCATTNAAAAAAAACAGAGAGAGAGAGAGGGAGAGCTGGAGTTTCTTTAGTCCTGAGAACCTTCCTTTATTGCAAGTAATATTTCATCTGGATGTCATTCTTGTTGGCTTATTCCATTTATTGTTCGATTTACTATATGTCGCTTGATATATTTGATACATTAACTTCTCTGGATATGAACTTGAGAATTCTGATTGCAAAAACTCTCCTTCCTATACAGGATGTATTAAAGCATAGAGATGCTGCGCAAATAGCTGCCATGGAAGCAATGCAAGAGGCTTCTGCTGCAGAAAGTTTACTTCAATGTCTAAGGTATTTTCTTGAGAATGAAATGTAGAGGAGTTTTTGATTTTCTTTAATCGAAACAATTTTAGCGCCTCACTACTGGTTATCAATCGGTACTAAATTGTTGGCAACATTTCATAGGCTAATGAACTCAGATGAAAAATGCATATTCCAGTTTGCATATAACCTCTGCTGTTTTGTTCATTGCTCTCGTAGGAAGGAGAGTTCCCATTATGAGACTTTATTTTTTCTTAAGAACCTTTTCCTTCCATGCTGCCATTTCACTTCCTCCAATCTAGCTTTTCCTATATTTTAATTTAGCTGGCACGACCTAATCAAGTTCCGAAGTATCCAAAACCGAGCTTATCAGTCAAAAGTCCAATTTCCAAGGGAAAGCAAGTGGTTGAAACTATTCACCAGATTAACCACGATTCTTCTGCACTTCCTGAGGTTACAACTAGTTAAAGTTTCATCTTAGCTGTTATCTAACAAAGGAAAAGTCTTTGGAGCTGCATTCACATACCATGAATCGTAGAGCCCGTTTGATTCTCATTATTGTAAAATGAGAATGAAAACTATAGCCGTTATTGGGTCCCACGCAATAGATAGAAATTCAAAATTGATGACTTAATGTGATGGATAACAGTCATATTTTTCATTTTTATGGATGAAAATGAGAAACAAACGGGCCCTTATTGTTTACTATATCTTTGCTAATATAAGTGAATTCTTAATTCATTAGAAGATATAATTTGGATAGCTTATACAATAGTTAAAAGGCAGCCAAAAATGTAAACATGAAAATGTGTGTGCATGTGTGAAAGACACCACGAGAAGAGTTATATTAGCGCAATGAACGAGGATTCATGAAACATTTCTGCATCACAACTAAAGAAAACAAAGAGATTAAAATCCCCCCTTCTCCTGAATATATTGTACAGTCTGCAAAATAAAGAACGGGACTTGACAACTGATAGGCAATCTGAGACATCTGTACGCATTTCAGCTGTCTAAAATCTTTTGCATAGTTCCCTGCTGAATGTTTATTTGCTCATTGCTTAAACCTTGCATTCCTTTTCTCATTTGTTTCTGTTTTGGTATGTGGCACAGCAAATCGGAGTAGAAACGCTAACAAATGTTGGGTAACTACAATATGATATCACTTGCTAAAACCGTATATTTCCTTAAGTCTGATGAAAGGTTCTTTTGTCAGTCGGAAGTAGCATGCTGGACATTTGTCAGTTACAAGTTGCTTATTTATCTTCTTCTGTTAGATGGCTGCATGTGTTGGTGACAAGTTTCTTACTTGATAATAGAATAATACATCGATTAATATAAAAATTAACTGCCTATGAATTACTTACAAGCTTGCAAAAAAGGAAAGATCCTATACTCTTTTTTTTTTTTGACAAGTAATCAGATAATTTTATTAATCAAAAAATAATACATGGGGAAAGATCCTAAACTGATTACATGATCGAAGTACTATTGAAATAATCTACGGAAATATGGAAGATATAATAATATCATGAGATAATGGAGATAGATCTTTAATATCTATTTTGTCTTTTAGTGTGTAAAATGACCCGTCACACATGTTTGCCCTAGACAGATAACTAGCTTATGGTGAGTTTCATTCACATTCTTGTTTAAACTAGTAGTTGCTGGTAGAAAGGAGCTTTCCTTTCTGGTCATAGACCTTAGAGAGAGCTTTTTTCATAGGTTGGTGATTTATGATTGAATGGTCCATCTAAACTTCATAAGTAATTTTATCAGTTTTTGGGGTAACTAGCCTCCAAGTGGTTATACTATCATGGCTTAGTAAGATTTTAAGCAGATTTTGAAAAGGGTAAAAGGGTAAATGGGGTTTCATTGCCTATGTGGGGCGATGTGCAAGCATCAAGGCACTTTGAGGTTTAAAAACCTAGAAGAAAATTAAAATATATATATTTTATAATTATAAAAATTCAAATTTGTACTTAATAATGAACTGTATACCATCTAAAATATCTGTAATCGAACATTTCACAAATAATAAAAAATATATTAAGGGTCTAATTTGCAATTGTCAATGGTAGCAAGAAATAAAGCGATGAAGAGGTAATTACGTAACAAGACCTTCGCGATCAACATGTTAGCTAAACTGAATCTCGGAATAACTCCTCATTATTTGAGCTTAGTTTTGAGAACTAGAATTTTTTTTTTTTATTATTATTTTTAATATATATTTTTGGGGCTGTGATGGGGGGGGGGGGGGGGGCATGGAAGTGCAACATACTGATTCTAAGAACCTTTTAATTTAAACGTTGGGTTGAAATTGATGACATGGAGATGGTTGTGTTTTTTATTTTTTGGTTGGGATAAATATTAGAATCTCCACGAGAGCAAAAAGCTCAGGCATACTGAACGTCAAATTGGGGTGCAAAGGTATTCGAATTATTTTAGAAAAACATATTTACGAATTCAAGGGCTGCATGGCAGCTGTGAAAGCTTTGATAGTGTGATTTGAAGTTGTGGTGGTACCCTACCTTGTTGTAGCAGAAGACGATTCTGGCTTCTGGACAGAAGGCCTCTTAAAAGTTTAGATCAAGGATTTTGAGGACACTTGGATGACTAATTAGTTTTGACATTGTTGGAAAAATAAACTGAGCTATTTGAGTAGCCAGACCTTGAAATAACAATCTTATTAATAAAAGGTCTGAATTAAAGTTCATCATTTATTTGTAGTTACGTGTTTGGGAAACTCAATATGCAATTCAGTTCGAGTCAAACTGGTTTTTGCTTATTTGGAAGTTAAGTTGATCCAATTTCAGAACAGAAGTTTCTCTACTTAGATTACATTCAACTTTTACTGGTAATACTAAAATGCTAACATATTGTTGATTCACAGGTTTTATTATCTCTCTCCCTTTTTATTATTCTTTAAGTGAGGCGCTTGTGAAAAAATAGTTCGTAGAAAATTCTACCAAATATTGACCACCACTCTATTGGGTTTTATACTGAATCCAGATTTAATCCTGCATTGAGTTAAGATGGTTTCGTACTTTTCCTATAGTTCCTAGATTAAGTTCAACTGAAACCACTTAATTTTGTCCTTGGAACCTGATTTCAGCCCTCCTTTACTATTCCCTTGCTTTTATACATGTCATGTTCCGAAAAGTATATCTTCAATGGGAAACTGGTTGACCAAAAATTCTCCATTTTCACCTTGGATTGGTCAAAATAATCACTTCTAAGCTTATTTCATTCAGTTCTTTGCTAATACTTTATCTTTTTGTGGAACAGCACATATGCTGAGTTGAGGATGTCTGCTAAAGAAGATAACCCACAGCCCGCTGTCGAGCAGTTCTTGGCCCTGCATGCAAGCTTGAATAGTGCTTGTATTGTTGCTGATTCTCTATCAAAAACTATTACTCTTGACTCTTCACAAAATGAAGATCCATCAGTAGAAGTGCAAAAGGTCACTTTAGACAGGTGTAAACGTGCTGCTTCTTGGGTTCATGCTGCATTGGCTACAAATTTGTCATCCTTCACACTATATGGCAAACCAGGTACCTCAAGTCTGGCTGCAGCATCAACTCTGACTCCAAGCCCAAAAGCTATTCCGATTCATCAACCCATTTTAGTTCTTGAGAACTCTACTAAAAGCACAGAGCCAAAAATCCTGACCAAGCCACGGCAGTCAGCAAACTCCAAGAATCACTCGTCTGGAACTCCAAGTCGGGTAAGTGGCGGATTGGCTGTTGGTCACAACACAACAAAAACTTCACCTCCTATTGAGTGGGTTAAAGGAGATGGTCTCAATGAGTCTGTGGACTTGGCAAAAATGTTGAGGTTGGAGTCTCAGGATTGGTTCTTAGGTTTCGTGGAAAGATTCTTGGATGCTGATGTGGACACGTCAGCTTTATCAGATAATGGTCAAATAGCTGGCATGTTAAGTCAGCTCAAGAGTGTGAATGATTGGTTGGATGAAATTGGGTCTTCCAAGGATGAAGAAACACCTCGTATCTCAGCAGAAACAATCGACAGAATAAGAAAGAAGATTTACGAGTATCTTCTAACTCATGTGGAATCTGCTGCAGCAGCTCTTGGTGTTAGCTCACAAACATCACCAGTAATGGAAAGCAAAGTAAGAAAATGATATCTAGAAATCATATTTTCATTTTTCTTTCTCAATCACCAAATGGTTAAAGGAGCTCATAATTTAAAATTTGATGTATATAACTTCACATAGAGTGGTTTGAGGTATATAGAGTAGGTTTTATTGATGTGAAGTGGCATTATAAGGGAAGTTGAAGATTTGCTGTGTCTTTGTTGGTTGAACATTTTTTTTCCCTCAGAAATTTGAAACTACAATGGCCTTTTTCGTTTATTTAACTTATGCTCAGTTTGGCAATATTAACTCTTCTTTTTTGTAGCTTGCATCTATGGTAGAGTGTTTTCAAGCCTGTACTGTGTAGACCTTGAACTTGAAGATTGAAATTTTCCTGGAGATTCCTTCTTTACATCCAAATTTAATTTGTATTGTTAGTTTCTCTATCGAACCTATTGATTGGTTTAGATAAATAAATAAATTTATACGTGCTTTTAAGTTTGCACAAACGAGTATTTCTCATTAGTCAACTTGAGTAGAACAAGCACGTGATCAAGGAATGATAGAAGGTGATGCAACTCGATTCTATGCTCTTCTGAGCATACATTTAAAATAGTTACTTTTTGAACTATTGAACGTGTAATACTGAATTTAATTTTTCTTTATAAATTCCAATGTATCTGTGCAAACAAAGTATAGTCGATTGAAACTGTAGGCTTGTAGGAGCGTACAATCGAGTTGCAATACTTAAGTTGCACTTTTGTCGCACTCCTTGATCTGGTGCTTGTGCACTTTAAGATGTGTTATAGAATTTTGACTCATTTTCAAGTTCATTCGATGCGAATTTAATGTGTATTACTTGAATCGTTGAATCGGTAACGATAACATACACTAATATTAGTCTTTTATATTCTTGTTTCACGTAAGATCTACGACAAATTTACCAAATTTAATTTTTTATTGTTAGTTTTGAATTCTAATGTTTGGTTGAGATAAAAGAAAATAATTGTATACGTGGTTTGAAGTTTGCGTAATTATGCATTTTGCCATGGACAATTGAAGTTGCACATGCATGTGATCGAGTTATGCTACAAGGTGCGTCAACTTGATCTTAAGCTCTTCCAACTATGCATTTACAATTGTAACCTTTTGACCTATTGATAATGAGTAATACTTAATTTATTTTTCCTTTTAATTTCCAATGTAAGGTTCAGATATGTTACTTTTGAGTCCTTTCATGTTTGTTCAATACAAATTCAATGTTGAATTAGTAATCATAAAATGCTCTGATCTTAGTTTAGTGACACATGTTGTGACGAATGTCTGTGTTATCGTATCTTGTTTCCTAGTTTCGTGTCATGTAATTTTCTAATAGACCTATTGGTTTGTAAGATAAGAAAATAATTGTATACATACTTTAAAGTTTGCATGATCAAGCATTTTTGCATAGTAATCTCGAGTTGCAGATAAGTAGACGATCAAGAAATGCTAAAGGTACCGCAACTCGATCCTACGCTCTTCCAAGCATACATTTATAATGATAACATTTTGAACTATATATCTGTTTGAGTCACATTATTTTTTTCATTTCATTCTTCTACTCAATTTTAACCGCTCATTCTTTAATAAAATAATATTTTATATCACATTAATAACTTTTTCTTCTTTTTCAATTACATATTTCTCATCACATCAACAGTAAAAAAAAACATTCTTTTTCCAAAAAAGTGCACCAAACGGGGGCATAATGCATAATGCTAAATCTAATTTTTTTTCTTTACAAATTCCAATGTAGGGTTTGAGGTACAAGGAAACAAAATATAGCCAATTTATTAATAAAAGTCAGTAATTCAAAAAATTACCGCTTGAGCTTACAATCGAGTTGCAATATTTTGTAACAAATCCTCGATCATGTGCTTGTGAAACTAGTTGGCTATAGCAAAATGCACAATTAATATTATTTCACACATACAATTAAATAATGCGGCCAAAACAAATTTCCCTAGTATTGATACTTTTAGATATGTTATAGAAGGGTAATTAGCACGAAAAATGCTAGATGTATATCAAAAAGTGTACATCAAGTTTTACATCCCCTCATATGGAGGGGTCCACTCGAATAAAATAGAGTTATTCTTCTTGTACATTTGGGGCTACCTAAAGGTGTCCATAATGGACACCCGGCACAATCCCATTGGATGGAGTGTCTAGGGTTCCACTCGAATAAAATAGAGTTATTCTTCTTGTACATTAGGGGCTACCTAAAGGTGTCCATAATGGACACCCGGCACAATCCCATTTGATGGAGTGTCTATGGGACCGGCACTTCATCCAATATGAATGTGCCGGGTGTCCATTATGGACACCCTTATGTAGCCACAAATGTACCACTAGCATTTCTCAATAAAATATTCGAGTGGGCCCCTTACCCATGTGAGGGGGGTGTACACCGTGATGTATACCCCAATGTACCACTAGCATGACTCAATTAGCACATAACATCTCCACCCTTCATTATTATTATGGAAAATGTCTTGACCTTTAATTTTTTTTGGCATTTTCACCCTTATTTCCACATTTCATTGCCCAAAATGTCATTTTTATGTATTTTCTCAATTAAAAATTATGAAATGATGAATATATACTTCTCTTTAAGTAAAATAAAAACAAAAAGAAAAAAATAATTACAACCATACTCCCAATTTTTTTTAAAGTGCAAATGAGTCTCGAATAAATTATTAAAATGATAATTAGTACATAATGTTCTTATCTTTCATCGTTATTGCGAAAAACATCCACACCTTTTATTTATTTATTTATTTATTTATTTATTTTGCATTTTCACCATTAATTACACCTTTAATTATGCAAACCAACATTTCCATCCATTTTCATCTAATTTTTTAATAAAAAATAGTGAAATAATGAATATACCTTCATATTTAAATAAAAAATATTTTTTTAAATTTATAATTCTTTAATAATTTCTTTAGGACTTGTTTACACCTTTTAAAAAATTTATTTTTTTTAATAATTTATTGGGGACTCGTTTGTATTTTTTTTTAAAAAAAATGAGAATATGGGTACAATTAATTCTTTAATTTTTTTTTATTTAAATAGGAGGATATATTCGTCATTTCACAGCTTTTTATTGAGAAATTGGATGAAAATAAATAGAAATAATGGTTCGCGCAATTAAACGTGAAATTAAGGATGAAAACATCACAAAATAAAAGGTATGAACTTTTTTTGCAATAATAGTGAAAGGTAGGAACATTGTGTGTTAATTACCATTTTAATAATTTATTTGAAATTCATTTGTGCTTTTCGAAAAAATTTGAGACTATGATTGCAATTAATTTTTTTCTTTTTTCTTTTGTTTTATTTAAAGAGATTGGTATATTCGTCATTTCACAATTTTTAAATGGAAAAATGGATGAAAATGACATTTTGAGCAATGAAATGTGAAAATAATGATAAAAATGTCAAAAAAAATGAAAGGTATGGACAGTTTTCACAATAACAGGATAAAGTGGGGATATTATGTGCTAATTACCCTGTTATAGAATATTGACCCCATTCATATTTATTTGATACAAATTCAACATGTGCATTACTTGTTTCAATAGCCATAAAATGTTCTAATATTAGTTTAGTGACATGCTATCGATATCTTCTTCTCTAGTTTAGTGTCATGTGAGACCTGTGAGAAGTATTGCATAATTTAATTTGTACCGTTAGTTTAGAAATATCTAAAAGACTTAATGATTGGTTGAGATTAATATATATATATATACATACTAGGTGCAAGCAACGTGCAATGCACGTTTGCTTAGTTTATATTTAATAGTTTTGTTTAAGAATTAACTTGTTATCAATAAAGATATAATTTTTTTGGTTAATTAAAGGCGTGTCTGAGCGCGCTGCAAGGAGAAAGGAAAATTGATTATATTACTTTTTTTTTTCAAACTTACAGCCCTACAGTGAGAGAATTGATCCAAAATTGCGGCTCCCAACTGCATGAATTGTGCTGCCAACGGCTGGATTTCTGTTGAAAAGTAGAAACAGACACCATCTAAATAATTAATGATGTAATGTTTATGTAATTGATAAATAATTAGATGTGTGATTTTGATGTTGTGATGTAGGTTGGTGAGATTGAAGAAAATAAGCAAAAGTTGACAAATTTGGAGAAATAACTAAATTGTAAGGGATCCAAAGTTCGGGGACTAAAATGTAAATACTCAAAAGCTGTGCCGAATCTCACGATGAAGGTTTGAGAGTGCTCGGAGTCAATTGGATAAAGGAAGACCTCAAGATGATTAAATTTAGTTAAAAGATGATCACAAATCAATTTCCAACCGAAAAGTTATGCTCCGGTGTTTTAGTCTCATATTGAGACCTATTTTTGGTATAGAAAGTGATCGAATTTGAGAATGATGTCTGAATCAAAGTTTTAGCCGAATGAGTTAGCTTTCCAACGCATTTTGAATCGTCTCAATCGGATATCGGAATACAAAGTTATGATAAAAACAATGAAGGAAGGTGCAGCGCCTGTTTAAAACAAAAAATTCCGTTACCTGGTCCGTTAAAACAACAAATTCTGTTAGTTTTTCCGTTAAAACAAGAAATTCCGTTATATAGCCACTTTTAATATATAGAAGATATAATTTCATATGTAGTTTGAAGTTTGTGTAATCAAACATTTTATCATAGTCAACTTGTTCAACAAGCACGTGATCAATGAACGCTACAAGGTGTTGCAACTACATCCTGTGCTCTTTCGACCATACATTTACATTAATAACTTTTTAATACGTAGGCTTACAGAGTGTCCAATGCTTTGTCTCAATTCTTCCTAGGTTGCTTGTACAACCTTAGTGGGCTATAACGAAATGCTCAATTATTGACATTTCACAACACACAATTAATAATAGAGCCCACAAAATATTTCTCCGCAAGGTACTATTGATTGTTATAGAATATCGTCTCCTTTTATATTTATTCCATGCAAATTCAACTTGTGTATTACTTCAATCGGTAATTATTAAATGCGCTAATCTTAGTGTTGTGAAAATATCCGTGTTATTGATATTTTCTTTCCTAGTTTTGTGTTATGTAAGACATGTGACAAAATGTTACCATATTATTTGTATTGTAAGTTCTGAATTCTCTAATAGAAAAAAATAATTCTATATGTGCTTTAAAGTTTGCATAATTAAGCATTTTGTCGTAGTCAACTTAAGAAGCACGCGATCAACAAATACTACGATGTGCTACACAAATTGATCCTATGCTCTTCGAAGCGTACATTTACAATGATAAATTTTTGAACTTTGGACAATGCATAATACTAAATATATATTT